TCCATTAACAAATCATGTTCTTTGCTTTTAACAGTAATGGAACAAAGTTTACTCCATATAGGGGCTACGTTTAACAGATATTCAGTTCTAGATCAGCTGAAACTCTTTCTCTTCATCATATGTTTGATTGTTTGGGTTAAAGTATAAAGTAGGTGGTTGGAAACATGCTGGTGAACTTTAAATGTGTCTGTTTTTAATTTTCCAGATACAACTGATGACCACACTCTGCTCTGGCTCCTGAATCAAATGCGAGTTGGAATCCCTCAAGTCAGCATCCAGGTCCGGCAGCATAAACACACCCAGGCCCTCGCCTTCTTCATCACAACCACATTTGAGAAGTGAGACTCGCGCTCCTCCACAGCTGCATAGATCCCAATCCTAATATCTAATTTGTATTGCCAGGAAATGAAATCCTTCTATGGAGAGAAATTTGTTCCAATATTGTTAAAATGTTCTTCAAATTTCTTTCAAAAAAAAGGAAATTTAAAGAAAATTTGCATCAAAAATGGAACATTGAAAAACTTCTCAGTCACATAAAAGATTTTTAGATTCATTTATAATAGGGTGACTAAACATCCTCTTTGCCCGTTGTAGGTACTAGATCCTCTCAGGGCCCCACCCCTTCTTATGACGTCATCATATGGCAACTCCAGATCTGTTCGGGTCCTCCTTCATGCCAGTGACGTTACGCTACATTATTGGCTGAACGTTGCCATATGATGTAAAACACTGTGGTCGCCCAGACAACGATAATAACATCACGCAGTGTCTGTTAACGTGCCTAATGACTGATAAGGTTTTACTTGATCGATAACAAAACTGAAAAAATCTGTTTCTGGTGAACAAAGTAACAGTTAAACCAAAATATAAAGGGGGAGAGCTGGACAGCGCTGTAGCTAGCTATGTTCAGTAGCTAACGGGTTAGCCTCTTTTAGCTCGGTCAGTTAGCCATATTAAGCTACACTACTTTAAATTTATGTCAACAACAACTGTTCATTTTCTACAAGTAGAATAACTGTCTAAAATCTCTATTAAGTCATTTTTTAAGATTTTCCATTTGTCCTCGGCCCTCAGATCTTAATAAAAAGAATAAAAATAAGCTGAAACTTTTTTTGTCACCTTGTTAAATATCAGAGCTCAGTCTGGCTTAGAAGGCAGGACTGTCCTTCAAGACTGACAATGATTTTTTTTCTACTTTCGGCTGCGTTATGTCACCAATGAAATATAAAATAGTAGAAATTATAGGTTATAATATGTTGAGACTCCAAAAGAGATTTAATCCATAAGAAACAGTTTGTGCGAGTGGAGTTGCCATACATGACGTCATAAGAAGGGGCGGGGCCCCAAGCAGATATGGTACCTACACTGGCATCCCTGGGCGGAAGTTTAAAAAAAATTAAAAGGTTTAGCTAAACTTAATATTAGATGAAAATAAAGTCTTAGATTTTATACCTTAAGAATATTAATTCTAGGCCTATAAACATGCTTACTGCCATTTTGCATGAGTATTCATTTCTCAAGCCCTGGGGGTCGTTGCTCTGTGTTTTGTAGAGGTTTCCCTTATCCTAAACAGATTTAAAAAGGGAATCTATTTCTAATTATACAGCAGGGTTAATCTTCCTCTTGTGCTGTTTTTATGCCAAAGATCATCCAATATCTCTATTTTGCAAATTTCCTGTTTTGTTTCCTAAATTTTATTTCTTTAAAATATTTATTTCAGAATTTTATTTTTCAACGTTTTTTTCCCCCCAAAATTCTATAGTTGTTTTAATTTTACATTCACTCTTTTCAAGTTTTTAACGGAATTTTACCGCAAATTTAATTCTTTTGTAGTGGTCCGTCGTGGTGAAGAGAGAGCTGAGCCTAAAAGCAAAGCTCTGGATTTTCCGGTCGATCTACGTTCCTACCCTCATCTATGGTCATGAGCTTTGGGTCATGACCTGAAGAACGAGATCCTGGATACAAGCGGCTGAAATGAGTTTTCTCCGTAGTGTGTCTGGGCTCTCCCTTAGAGCTCAATCATCCGGGGAGGACTCAGAGTAGAGCCGCTGCTCCTCCACATCGAGAGGAGCCACTTGAGGTGGCTCGGGCTTCTGGTTAGGATGCCTCCTGGACGTTTCACTGGTGAGGTGTTCCAGGCACGTCCCACCGGGAGGAGGCCCAGGGGGAGACCCAGGACACGCTAGAGGGACTACGTTTCCAAGGTGTTCCCATACCAGCAGAGAGGGACGTCTGAGTCTCCCTACTGAACCACATTAAGCACAGCCAGTGATATAAAACTAGCTGCTTACCACCAGAGTTTCCTTCCATGCTGGTCGTAACTTTAGCTTCTGTCCGGAAGCACGGCATTCGTCTAAATGTATGCCATGTTGTGTGCGCAGGTGTTTCTGCATGTTGGATGTATTTCCTCCCGCGGATGTAATTGCCACTTTGCAATGATTGCAAAGCACCTTGTTGCCATTTTTCTCTTCCTTAAAATGAAGCTAAACTTTCGATCGGTTTACCAGATGGGACCGCATTTTTTATTTATTTTTTGCTTTTCTAGATTTACGTATGGTCACGTCGTACTTGCTTACTGAATGTAGTGTGCGTAACTTGCGTAAAAAACGTGACGTAAGTCGTGCTGCTCAGCGCTAGGCTCTGGTGCTTCATGGAACCGTTACGAGAATTGTTAGGCGAGCTGCCAAACGGTGCCATGGAATTGGAACACACAGAACCTGTTCTTAACAGGAACTGATGTTCGATTCCCATCCGTAGGCATGATGGCAATTATTTTACATCAAAGTAGTAGGCAGTTCATCATATATACACACAATATCAATTTCAAACAGATGGTTTCGATATGGTATTGGCCGACGCTGCTCAGGTATCTGATATCGGGGTCAGAAAATAGCATCTGCACAACGCCACTTTTGGGTGGACTGTACTCAGAGCAATAGAAAGGCTGTTGCTAACACTCTCCAAAAAATAATGTAAGTAATTCAATCAGAAAGAATATTTGAAAAAAAAAATGAAAATCAGATGTTAAAGCAAACTTAA